GGATGTGGCACACACGCAGGTGAGAGGACTCACCTGGGAGCACAGGTCCAATATGGTGTTATTGAGCATTTTACCCGCTTGCTCGCCAGAGAAGTAGCCGCCTGTGAGAGGAGAGAACGGTCACATGGAGTCTGTTGTGCTCCCAGCACGCTGTCCTCCTGTGGGGGCTCACTCTGTTTGTGGCACATCCCCAGTCCCCACCTGGCCAGCCAGCACTGTGGCCTCTAATAGAGAGCCAGATACAAGTGGGCTGGGGCTGGAACAGGGGTCAGGACTAAGGCTCGAGCCCAGGCCTCCCTCCCAGGAGGACGGTCAGAAAGTAAGGATGGTTTGCTGGTGACAGTCCCCCCCAGGTGAGATGCAGGGCTGCTGGGCTCCCCCCTGAGGCCTGGGGGTGACACTGAGGTGAGGGGTAGGGTGGCATGCAGTGTACGGGACCTGCGGCCTCAGCGCCCAGGGCAAACCTCGCTGTCTGACACAGCTGTGCTGGACACTGTCTGGTTCGGGCCAGCTGGCGGGGAGAAGGGCACTTGGTCAGGGTGAACTAAGGAGGCTCCTTGGAGGCATGCAGTGTCCCCCCAGCAGTCTAGTATCATAGTGGGGGGTGCTCTGCTCTTCCTAGAACCCAGCACTCAGAAGTCCTTGCTGAACTAACTGGGAAACTGACTTCAGAGGGGCCTCGAGGAGCCCATGGGACAGAGGTGGGGCCACTGCAGTCCCATCCTGGGTTCTGCAATCTGTGTCTTCTTGTGGGGTCTTCACTGAGAAGTGAGCTCTGGTGTGATCCTGCTCCTCTAGCCATCAACAGGGGTCAGCAACCCCGCAGGTGTGTGTGTAGATTATTAAACACCTGCTCTCAGGAGGACCTCCCCTAGCACAGATGGGGACGTGAACACCCTCCCCCGGCGAGGATGGGGGTACACCCTCCCCCGGCACAGATGGGGGCGGTGAACACCGTCCCCAGGTGAGGATGGGGGTACACCCTCCCCCGGCACAGATGGGGGTGGTGAACACCCTCCCCCAGCATGGATGGGGGCAGTGAATGCTTTCTCCCAAGGGGAATGGGGATCAGTAAACACTTCCTCCAGCGGGAACAGGGCCAGTAAACACTCCCTCCCAACAGGAATTTGGATTGATGAACACCTTTTTTGGGGGGGGGACACGACACAGGGATTAGTAAACACGTCCTTCAGCAGCAACGGGGTCAGAAAACACCCTCTCCTAGTATGGACGGAAAGGGGACCAGTGAACACTCCAGCAGGGAGGACGAGGCTCAGCAAGCCCCCTCCCAAGGGTGATGGGGATTAGTAAGCACCCTCTCTCAGGAGGACCTCCCCCAGTGGGAATGGGGACCAAACGTTCTCTCCCAACAGGAATGGGGATCGGTGAACACCTTCCCCTAGGGGGGATGGGGTTAGTAAACACATGAGAAGTCAATTCACCAACATCACACTGGAGAAGATGGGCTCCCCAAGTAAAGGCACCCTTAGTTCCCTCTTACAGCAATTCTGGGGAGATGTGAAGGGAGGAGGGTTCCCCAGGGAGCACCGGGAGGGAGGAAGTGGCCTCACCTTGGTAGAGAACGGCCATGTGGGGGCTCAGGGACCACAGGGCGTAGAGTGCACTGAGCCGGCCCAGCACTCCCCGCAGCGAGGGTGGGACGCTTGGGTGCCGGGTGAAGTCATGGAACCGCTGGGCCACCGTCAGCTCCATGAAGGCCAGGGCCAGCGAGCGGCAGTAGTACACCTGGAAAGGACAAAGGTCATGGTCAGAGGGATGCAGTGAATACTTGAAACACACAGGACATAGTGAGAGGGACTCAGCAGACACACAAGTGACACAGTGACTGGGGCTGCAGTGGGCATGAGAGGCCCACACTGCAGCTGGAGAGGCTGGGCGGGCATGGCCGCCCGTGATTCTATGGCCTGGCAGTTAGGATGTGGTCATTCCTCCAGTGGGCATGTCACCGTGACCTTGATGAGATCTGACACGGTGTTATCCCCTCTGTGGTGAGAGCACATGGAAGGAGTTTTGTTAGGGGAGTGGTCTGCCTGAAACATTACGATGTGGCCATTCTGACAGCTCACTTGCTCTTTGCTAGATCAGGATCTAGACCCTGGCTTGTTTCCAGCTGGCCTCCAGTTCTGTGGACTTGAGTCTGTGGCCTGCGGGATTGTCCACTGATGCTGGATTCTCCAGCCTCCAAACCAGCAGCCTGTCCACCTGGCTCACCAGGCTCCACAGCTGCGTAAACCAGAAGCAGCTTCTACCCGGGCATCTGAGCCTCAATATGCAACTGCCGGCTGGACGGGGACAGGAGCTACTTCCCTGAGATGAACGTCTCCTTCTTCCCTCTTCTCCTCCGTCCCTTCCCCTCCCTCCCCCGTCACTGTCCTGTCCCATCTGCACCATCTCAGGCACACTCAGCCTCCTGGTGCATCACTGGTCAATCCACCTCGCTGGGGGTCTTCCCCTCCTTCACTCCCCCTCCCCTTTTCCAAGCATGATGTCTGCTCTAAGGAACAACCTCTCCTCGCAACACACCCAAAGGACAGGAGACGGAGCCTCACCAACTGGTTCCAAGGTGCACTCTGGCCACACCTTCCTTCTCCAAGACGTATCTGTTCGTTCTTTTAGCTGTCCATAGGATCTTCAATGCTCTTCTCCAACAACACAGTTTAAAGTGATCAGTTCTTCTTCCGTTATTCTTAGTCAGTGTCCATCTTTCAGACACATAGCAAGTGATTGAAAAGATCATGACCTGAATCAGGTGCACCTTTGTCGTCTAACTGACATCATTGCTCCTCAATATTTTGGAGATGTTCCTGAGCGCGGCCTTTCCCAGTGAAGTATGTGTCCTGATCTCCTGTTAGTACCACGTGTACTGACTGTGGATCCAAGTAAGACGAAGACATTGACCACCTCCATGCTTTCTCCATCCATTTTGATGGTGCTTATTGGTCCAGTGGAAGGTGGTTTTGTTTTATGTTGACATGCAATCCACATTGAAGGGTGTAGTCTTTTGTCTTCTGCAGCAAGCACTTCAAGTCTTCTACAAACCCATAATAAACACATTTTCAGAAATAAGAAGGAATGGGAAACTTGGTGGAGATCAGGGCTCTCTGGGGAGTCCTGGGGACGAAGTTTGTAGGAATTTGCACTGCGAACCCAGAAGCTACGCCTCTTCTGGTGATTCAAATCCACGAGTAGCTACAGGAGAAAGAGGGGTGATCTCCTCCTGATGGGCCAGGGCCTTGGGAGTCCCGTGCCTGGACAGCAATGAGTATTTTCATAGGTAAAGGTTACACAGCATGATCAATGCATGAAGACCACCCAGTCAGACTGGTTACACAGCATGATCAATGCATGGAAACCATCCAGACGTGAATGGTGTTGAACCAGCAAATGAGTGTGTGTGTGTATGTGTGTGTGTGTGTGTGTGTGTACAACCTAACAACATCCAATCTAGGAGGCCTGAGAGAGGATGCTGCTTGGGCTCGTCCACTGGCAGGCATGCCCTCAGACCTTGAAGCCCCTCAGCCTCGTCCTACTGGACATCATCTCAAAAGGGGGCTTCTGGGTGTTCAGGTACCTTTTTACTTTGGGGGGCAGAATTCCCATTGCAATGGTAGTTGTCATCAAAGCACCTCCCAGGCCCAGGAGACTCCACATCTGAGAGCAGCTCTGCTCTTCAGGGCGAGGACAAGTTTGCTCTAGTGAGAGGGTGGCTCCACGCCAGGGTGAGGAGGATTCCACCCAGATGTGAGGAGGACTCTGCTCCCAGGTGAGCACGTACACCTCCAATGACACATCTGCTCTCACACACACAAACATCCATGCATGTGCACACCACACACGCCCCAGGGCCCGGCATCGCCAGTGCAGACTCTGGGCCGTGCAATGAGTCTCCGTCAGTGCTGGTCCCCAGCCAGGCTGAACATCTGTGTTTTCACATCAGCTTGTCGGCCCTCCTCCACAGGCAGCCCCGTGGGATTCTCTGTCTAGCGTCTGTCTGTCTTCCGACTGTTTACGGCGTCTGTCGCTGCTGAGGCGTGTCTAACCCCCCCCTCGCCCTGTGCTGATGGCTTCTTTTCCGTTTGCAGCTCCCGGGCTGTTTCCGGTGGGCCCTGGGAAGGCTGCCCCACGCTGGGGTCATGGAAACCTTCTCCGATGGCATCAGCCTGGGAAGGAGGGAAGGAGCGGCCATCCCCCCTAGATCTCTGAGAGGCCCAGATGGGCCCCCACAGGGGAAGACACTGAACAAGGCAGGCCAGCCCCTAGCCTCCTGACTGGATAGCTGGCTGGGCGGTGAGGGGCCATGGTGGACTGTCACCCCTAGTGACCAGGAACAGGGAAGTCCTCGCTGTTGGAGCAGCAGGGCTCACTCTGAAAACCCTCCCTGGCTGTTCCTGGCCTGGTGGTCATTAGGACATGTCCAGGCAGGGCTTGGTTTAGACCCCACTGCTGCTGACGGCTGACATAACTTAAGCTTCCAGTTTCTCTGACCACAGCGCCTCGTGGCCTGTTTCAATGACCATGAACCGGCTGTAGTCAGGACTAACACCCTGGTTTCCATGTCTAGAGGTCAGGCAGGGCTGACCTTAACACCAGCTCCAATGACCATAAGTTGGGCATAGTCAGGCCTAAGTCCCAGCTTCTATGCCCATGGGCTAGGCAGAGCTGACTGTAATGTCCAGCTTCGGTGACCACAGGTCAGACAATGCTAGCTTCCGTGGGCACAGGCCAGGCAGGGCTGACCTTAACACCCAGCTCCAGTGACCACAGGCCAGGCCGCATCAGGCTACCCAAGTACAGTGTCCACCTCTGGACAGCTCACTGGTCCCAAGACCGTCACACCCATGGACAAGGAGGTCATGTGACCGACTGCCAAGCTGCCCCACCAGGACCCTGGCCACAGTGGACGTGGGCACAGTGAGCAGTTCGGGCTGGGGGCAGCTCGGACGTGGGGCAGCCCAGGAGTGGGGAAGCTCAGACGGGGGGGGGCAGCTCGGGCCAGGAGGCAGCTTGGCATGAGGCAGCCCAGGAGGGGGTCAGCTCGGACGAGGGGCATCTTCAGCGTAGGGCACCCTGGAGGTGGGGCAGCTCAGGTGGAGGACAGCTCGGCGTGAGGCAGCTCAGGCAGTGGAAGCTCGGGTGTGAGGCAGCCTGGGTTGGGGGCAGCCTGGGTGGGGGGCAGCCTGGGTGGGGGGCAGCCCGGGGGTGGGGCAGCTTGGGCGAGGGGCAGCTCGGACGTGGGGCAGCTCAGGTGCAGCCAGCCCTACCTGGCAGTTATTCCTTGCGTCAAAGTCACTGTGGCCTAAGCTTTTCTCCCGGGTCAGCTTCTGGTTACTCTCCCGCAGCAGGTAACAGACCAGCCACCTGTACGCCGCCAGGGTCACTTGCAAACAGGAAATGAAAAGTGTGAGGACGCAGTGGCCAGCAGGTGCCCAGCACATGCCCCAGAGGGGGAGGGACACTGCCCAGCGGGGTGTGGGTGTTTCCTGCTCTGGGAAACCCTGGTTGTTCTAAAAGCAGAGACTACGTGTGCACAGTCTTACATAGAAACGCACGGACTTACACACGTAGTGACACGGATACAGAGAGCTGCCCACAGAGACACATTACAGACCCACAAGTGCACAGTGACTCAGGCAGATGGGGTCACACACGTGCACACAGGCACACACACACACAGACAGGTACTGGTGCGGAGCTCCACCAGCTGGTCAATCTCTGGCCTTCTGGGCAGCGTCCGGGTGGTGAGAAGTGGCCCTGTGCCGGCCCCACCTGGTGGCCTGTGCCAGCAGTCCAGGCGACCCAGATGACCAAGCCGCTTGCACAGCCTCTCCCTGTGGCATGGTGCCTCCTGGAGGTGAGGTGGGGCCCAGTGTCCAGCGCCCCCGGTACACTCACCCTCAGTGTCCCAGCCGTCCTGTTCCCGGGGGACACGGAAGCGCTGACTGAGGATGTCCTCATAGGCTTCCAGGAAGTCGGTGGTCTTCAGGGGGCTTTTGAAGTGAGCTCCATCTAGGATGAATGGTCCAGAAGGGTGTGTGAGCGATGGAGAGACCACACAACACAGAGCCCAGGGGCAGGCAGCACGTTGTCCCTATGGGCTGACCCAGCGTCCCACCCCAACTCGCTGTCCCCTCCAGAGGTCTCCATCTGCCCAGGGAGAGAACACAGAGCTGGGAGCAGGGGATGGAGGAGGGGAGGGCGAGAGGAAAGGAGAGTCCCAGGGAGGGAGCAGGGAGAGTGCAGTTATGACGTGGGGACCTCAGTGAAAGACGTACATGAGTGGTGGAACTTTCACCCAAATCACAAAAAGTTTGAAAAGAAAAAAAGAAGTTCCTTTCTGCAAACAGGCTGTGAATCTTCAGACCCAGGGCGCTGGGGGAGGCGGCCCTTCAGATCCCTCATCCTCTCCTGAGATCCACTCAGGCCCCTTGCTGACTTCCTGAACCCTGTTCTGAGCCCCTGGGGCCCCTTGGCTGCCAGTCTCACCTCACAACTCCCTTCTATGCTCAAGGCCTCCTTTCTGAACTATGACACCCATCACAAGCCCCAGGGAACCCCTCACCAGGGCTTCCTCACCTCAAACTCACCCTCTTCCTGAACCACCTCTCACCCAACTCCTCCTCACCCCTGACCCTTCCTTACCTTTGACCCCTCCTCACCTTGACTGTTCCTCATTTCTGACCCTTCCTGAACCCGACCACTCTGTGTCTAAGACTCCCCCTCCCCCTGGACCCCCTCCTCCTCGGGCCCCCCTCACGCTCGGGCCCCCTCACCCAGGGCCCACCCTCACCCTGGGCCCCCTCCCTCTGGGTCCTCTCCTCCTGGGTCCTCTCCTCCCAGATCCTCCTCACCCTCAGCCCTCGTCACCCTGGGGCTCCCTCACCCTGGGCCCCCTGTCACACTGGGCCAACTCCCCCTGGGCCCCGTCACCCTGGGCCCCCTGTCACCCTAGGCCCCCTCCCCCTGGGCCCCCTCCCCCTGGGCCCCCTCCCCCTGGGCCCCCTCACCCTGGGCTCCGTCACCCTGGGCCCCCTGTCACACTGGGCCAACTCCCCCTGGGCCCCGTCACCCTGGGCCCCCTGTCACCCTGGGCCCCCTCCCCCTGGGCCCTCTCCTCCTGGGTCCTCCTCACCCTCAGCCCCCGTCACTCTGGGCCCCCTCACCCCGGGCCCCCTCACCCCGGGCCCTCTCACCTTGGGCCCTGGACGCCAGGAGCCCCAGCAGGTAGTTGCTGGTCTGCTGCAGCAGCACGTTGTTGTCCCCCTCATAGGTGCAGTTGGGGTCATTGTCCTCACGGAGTTCCCCCAGGCGGTTCACTGCAAGAGGGCACCTCAGTCAGGAACTGCTGGAGGCCACCACTGCTGTCCACGTCCACCTGTCCTGGCTTGGCACACTGACTGTGGCCATGGACACAGTGCCCATCTGCTGTCTGCCCCAGGATTCTGGGCGGTGCCCGTACCCCACAAGGACACATGGCGGGGACCCAGTGACTGTGTGAGTCTCAGGAACCAGCCTTGTTCCACCAACGCCAGCACTACAGACCCCCTGGGCACCAGTGCCCGCTGACCACCTCAGAGAAGGAGTCTGGTGATGTGACACTTCACACTGAAGGCTGGTAGTTCAAACCCACCCACCGCTCCCCAGTGGGATGCCTCCTGGGAAGAGTTACAACCTGGTTAATCTCATGGGGGGTCGCTGTGTGATGGGATCTACTCCAGAGCTCTGGGCCTTTGGTTTTTGGTAACTACATAAAAATCTGTATTACCTAAAACCCCATTCAAGACTATCTTCATGACTGGAAACGTGTTGACAAGATGAGGGTTAAGGTTGGTAAGCAAGGCAGTGAGCAGGCGGCCGCACGCAGGGAGCGCCACCCCCATGCCAGCCCCCCAACATCCTGGACAGCTCTTCCCTGTAACTGAAACCCAGGGGCGGCCGAAGCTCCTTGCCTGCCATCTTCACGCCCGGCCAGCACTCTCCCTCATCCCAGGCTGTCCACAGAGGACGCTCGCTTAGCTTCTCCTGACCTTCCTCTGGATAACCATGGCAACTCCCCGGGCAGCAGAGCGCAGCCATGATGACCAGGCTTTTCTTCCTACCTACATTCATCAGGTGCCTCAGCTGAGACCTGAAGCAGCCCTGCAGCACCTCTGACAGGTGGCAGCCACACTGACTAGGAATCAAACCTAGATCTCCCCCGTGGAAGGTGAGGAGCCAACCCAAAGCCACCTCTGCTCTCAGGCATGCCTGCTGCTGCCCTGTGACGTCAAGTCGATTTCCACCCACAGCAACACCACAGGACAGAGCCTCCCCACGGGACAGAGCCTCCCCACGGGACGGAGCCTCCCCACGGGACGGAGCCTCCCCATGGGAAGGAGCCTCCCCACGGGACAGAGCCACCCCACGGGACAGAGCCTCCCCACGGGATGGAGCCTCCCCACGGGACAGAGCCTCCCCATGGGAAGGAGCCTCCCCACGGGAAAGAGCCTCCCCACAGGCTTCCATGAAGGGGTGTTTACAAAAGACTGGAGCAGCCGTCAGCAGAGAACTGCCAGAAGTGCAGGCTGGGTTTAGAAGAGGCCATGGTACTAGGGCTATTACAGCTAATGTTAGATGGATCTTGGCTGAAAGTAGAGAATACCAGAAGAATATTTATCTGTTTCATCAACTATGCAAAGGCATTTGACTGTGTGAATCACAACAAACTGTGGCTGACTCTGAGAACAACTGGAATCCCAAAACACTTGATTGTGCTTATGTAAAACCTATACTTGGACCAGGAGGCAGTCATCAGAACAGAGCAAGGAAACACTGCATGGTTCAAAATTGGGAAGGGCGTATGCCAGGGATGTGTCCTCTCTCCGAACCTTTCAAGCTATGTGCAGAACAAATCATTTGGGAGACTGGGCTCTATGAGGAGGAGTGTGACAATCAGGATTGGAGGAACAACCCTGCTTGGTGAATCTGAGGAGGACCTGACGTGCTTACTACAGAAGCTCAAGGACTGCAGCCTTCAATATGGACTGAAGTTCAACATCAAGAAAACAAAGATTCTCACCACTGGGCCTACTGACAGTATCATGATGGATGGAGAAGAGATTGAGGTTGTTAAGAGCTTTAGTTTGCTTGACTCCACAATCAACACTCTTGGTACAAGCAGCCAGGAAATTAAAGGACGAATTGTATTGAGAAAGTCTGCTGTCAGGGACCTCTCTAGAGTACTGAAGAACAATGACGCTAGTCTGGAGACTAAGATGTGCCTGATACAAGCCATAGTCTTCACAATTACTTGCTATACAGCAGAGACCTGGACAATGACTAAGAATAATAGAAGAATAGATGCCTTTGAACCGTGTGGTGGAAAAGAGTACGGAATATACCCTGAACTACTCAGAGAACAAAAAGGTTTGTTCCAGCGAGGGTAAAACCAGGCTGCTCCTTGGAGGCAAGGATTCTGAAGTTTGGTCTGACATACTTTGAACATGTTACAAGGAGGGATCAGTCCTTGGAGAGGGACATCATGGTTGGGAGAGTGGAGGGACAGAACAAGAGAGGAAAACCCTGGGTGAGATGTTTCAATTCAGTGACTGGGGTAATGGGGGTGGGTGTGTCAGAGACAGTGAGGTTGGCACAGGCTAGAGCAGGGTTTAGGGCTGTTGTATATAGGGTCACTATGAGTCACAGGCAAATCGATGGCACATCACATCAACAAGAGGGGCTAGTGGGTTTGAACTGCCCACCTCCCAGAGCCTGGTGGCACGCTGTACATAGTTGTTATTGTCATGTGACATCGAGTTGGACCTGGCCCGTAGCTGACCCTCCAGCAGGTGGTCAGAGGCAGTAAATTGTAGGTGGAGATTGGCCATCCTTCTTCCACCAAGCAGCTGGTGGATCCGAACTATGTGCCTTCGGGATGGCAGCGTAGGTTCTGACCACTGAGCCACACAGTGTGTGGTGTACCGTGGAGGGCAGATCCCAGGTCACCAAGGAAGTCCGAGTGTGAGCCGTCACAGGAACCCCAGCTCATGGCACCCTGACTCCCCCCAGCACTTGCAGTGTCCACTACTCTGAGAGAGGCTGCCAGCCCTTTCTCCTGAGGCACCTGGGGGTCCACTCGGCCCTCCCACCTTGTGTTAGCTGGGGTGGGGGTGCACTGTATATGCAGCAGAGGGATTCTGACTGCCCACATAGCCTCACTCCTCCAAGCCACTGGGCAGGTCTGCATGCAGTGGCGACCACACTAACTGACCACGGCCAGCTGTAGACTTCCCGGGGTGGCCTGGTGGCCTAGTGGTCAGGAGACACATGGCTTAAATCCACCAGCTGTTTCAGAAAAGAAAGACCAGTGACTTCCTCAGCGACCGCCAGCCTCTGAAAATCCACTCAGGATTGGCTGTGAGTAGCTTCCATCCTGACGGCACCTAACAACATAATACTAATCCCTCCAAGTGCTGTGCACCGTCTGTGCCCTGGCCCGGGCTGCTTTCTCAGCGTGAGCCGAGACAGACTAGCTCTCACGCATGTGACCAATGAGGGCATCCAGCTGGCACGAGGCAGCCCTCAGGAACCACACTGCAGTCCACCCCGGCTGTGAGACATTCTAATCTCCCTGCTGGACATGAAGATCCCACCCTGCTGTTAAAGCCTGGAGCACAGAAAGACTCAGAGAAGGAGCATGGGGCCCACGGTGCACACCCGGCCACACTTTCCTGTGAGGCCTGCCCTCGTCGGCATTACTGGCTACCGTCCAGCATATGGGTTCATGTGCAGTCCCACTAAGCGTGGTTGGCTGTTTGCAAGACTGCAAATTCAGCTTCCTATGTGAGAGGGTGAAACCAAGATTTTCCTCAGAGGCTAGGGTTTTGAAGTTCTGTCTCACATAGTTTGGGCACTTGGCCAGGAGAGACGATCCTTAGAGAAGGACATCATGCTCAGAAGGGTAGAGGGACAGCACAGGGGAGGAAGACCTCAGATGAGATGGACTGACTCAGTAACTGGGGTGATGGGGGTTGGTGAGTCAGAGTCAGTGAGACTGGCTCAGGACAGGGCAGGGTTCAGAGCTGCTGTACATCGGATCACTATGGGTCACGGGTGACAGCACATAACAACAACAACAACGTTGACACAGAACACAGGGCCCGAGGTAAACTGAGTGGAGTGGAGCTCCCCAGGAGAAAAATCTCCTTGGTGGCACAGAGGATGCAACACTGGGCTACTAAGAGGCTGGCAGTTCAAACCTCCTGGTCCCCCTTCTGGAGAAGGATATGGCCAGCTTCTCCAGCAGGACAACCCATCCTGGAAGCCCTGGGGTCGGTTCTCCTTCATCCTGTGGAGACCCCATGAACTTGGATCAGCCTGACAGCTGTAGGGGTGGACTCTCATCATGGCAAGGAAGATGGTTTTGACATTGCCACGAACGACACACAGAGATGCCACAGCACATAAAGGAACTGACTCCTTATTACGTCCGCTCAGCTGCACTTGCTTACTACAGAGGGAGACTGGGGCGTAGGGGCTCATGCTGCTCTGTGCTGAGGGGGACAGCCCATCAGTGTCCGTGTCCAGCAGGAGGCCTGATGCCAGGAAGACAGCTGCACAGGATGGAGAGGACCGGGACTATCCAGGTTTATCATGGAGATATCAGCACACTGCATGAGGGTCAGTGAGCCCCACGGGCATCAAGCATCAGTGGAGCTTCAGTGAGAGTGTGTGTAAATGAGGGCGAGGGAGTGTGCGGGTGTGAGTGTGTGAGAGTGTGGATGGGGTGTGAGAGTGAGAGTGGGTGTGAAAGTGGGCATGATGTGATTGTGCATGTGTGTGAGACTGTGGACACAGTGTGAGAATGAGAGTGGGTGTGGGTGAGAAAATGGATGTGATGTGAGTGAGCACATGTATGTGAGGGAGTGTGGATATGGTGTGTGAGTGAGAGTGGGTGTGGGTGAGAAAATGGGGGTGATGTGAGTGTGCACATGTGTGTGAGGGAGTGTGGATAGGGTGTGTGAGACTGGATGTGGGTGTGATGTGAGTGTGCATGTGTGTGTGAGTGTGGATAGGGTATGTGAGAGAATGGGTGTGGGTGAGAAAATGGGGGTGATGTGTGTGAGTGTGGTTTTCCACACACATACACACGAGCACAGACCTCCCTGAGTGACCATCTTTGAACGATAACTCAGGCCAGGACTACAGGAGCTTTCCCAGGTGAGGGGGATGAGGTGGACAGTTTGCACCCAGATGCTACGCTGACTGACGCACAGCATGGACTAACGGAATCCTTACATCCCTCTGCTGTTGGACTTCTGTTCTGATGCCCACTCAACAGGTATGGAAGCCAAGGCACAGAGAGGCCAGGTGACTTGTTCTTGGATGCACAGTTAGCATGAGGTAGACCTGGGATTTGAACTCAGGCTATTCAGCTGCCTGGATGCTAAGCCAGCTGCTTAAACAGGCATTGCTGATAACAGTCGCTCTTTCAAAGATCAGGGATTTTTTTCATCAAAAGAAAGTGTGAATCTCTTATGAACATATATGCAAAAATCCTGAATAAATAAAATAAATAAATAAAATCCTGGCCAATAAAATCCAATGATACATCAAAAAATAAATCACCGTGGCCAAGCAGGATTCATAGCAGGTATGCAAGGATGGTTCAACATAAGAAAAACAATCAGTGTAATTCATCATATAAACAAACAATGAACAAGAACCACATGATCCTATCAACTGATGCAAAAAAGGTCTTTAACAAAATCCAACACCCTTTCCTGATTAAAACACTCAACAAAATAGGATTAGAGGGGAATTTCTTCGACATAGTAAAAAGTATATATGCAAACTTGAGAGCTAACATTGTTCTCAATGGAGAGAGATTAAAAGCACTCCCTTTGAGAACAGGAACTAGGCAAGGATGCCCATTATTATCTCTCCTATTCAATATTGTATTGGAGGTCTTAGCAATAGCAGTAAGACAAGAGAAGGAAATAAGAGGTATCCAAGTTGGCAAGGAGAGGTAGAATTATCTCTATATGAAGATGATATGATAGTATACTTAGAAAACCTTAAAGACTCAGCAAGAAAACTACTGGACATAGTTGACCAATTCAGCAAAGTGGCAGGATACAAGATCAACATACAAAAATCAGCTGGGTTTCTCTACAGGGACACAAAGGATACAGAGCTGGAGCTAAGAAAACCAATACCCTTCACAATATACTTGGGAGTAAATCTAACCAGAAGCATAAAGGATATGTTGTTGTTATTGTTGTTATGTGCCATTGAGTCGCTTGCACCTCATAGCGACCCTATGTACAAGAGCCCTAAACTCCGCTCTGTCCTGTGCCAATCGCACTGTCTCTGACACTCCCATCCCGATCATCCCAGTCACTGAATCAATCCACCTCATAGAGGGTCTTCCCCTCCTGTGCCGTCCCTCCACCCTCCCAAGCATGATGTCCTTCTCCAAGGACCGGTCTCTCCTCACAACATGTCCAAAGTATGTCAGACAGAGCCTCGGAATCCTTGCCTCCAAGGAGCCACCCGGTTTAACCCTTTCCAGGACGAATCTGTTTGTTTTCCTAGCAGTCCATGGTATTCTCAATACTCTTCTCCAGCACCACAGCTCAAAAACATCAATTCTCCTTCTATCCTCTTTGGTCATCGTCCAGCTCTCTGATGCATAACAAGTGATTGCAAAGACCATGGCCTGTATCAAACCCACCTTCATTCAAAGAAAACGACAAAACATTACTACAAGAAATAAAAATAGATCTAGAGAAATGGATGAATATCCCTTGCTCATGGATAGGAAGACTCAATATTGTGAAAATGACAATACTCCCAAAGGCAATTTACATGTCCAATGCAATCCCAAGGCAAATACCAATTCATTCTTTGACGAGATGGAAAAAGCAATCTCTAATTTCATTTGAAATAGAAAGAGGCCCCAAATAAGCAAAACACTCCTTAAAAAGAGAAACAAGGTAGGAGGAATCTCACTCCTTGATTTCAAATCCTACTACACTGCCGTGGTGGTCAAGACAGCGTGGTGCTGGTACAATGACAGACACATAGATCAATGGAATAGAACTGAGAATCCAGATATCAGCTCATCTACCCATGGTCAACTGATTCTTGACAAGGAGATTAAATCAGTTAAGTGGGGAAACAACAGCCTTTTTAACAAATGGTGTTAGTAAAATTGTAAAGCTATCTGCAGAAAATCCAAGAGAGACCCATACCTCACTCCATACACAAAAAACAACTCAAAGTGGATCAAGGACCTAGGACTAAAACCAAGGACTATAAGCTTCATTAGAGAAAAGCTTGGAAGAACTCTAGAAGCCCTAATCCATAACATAAAGAGTCTTCCAAGCATCCTGGAAAATCTACAACCAGGAGAGGATAAAATAGATGCATGGGACCTTCTAAGACTTAAATCCCTTTGCACATCAAAAAACTCCAAAAGGGTAAAAAGGGAAGCCACAGATTGGGAAAAAATATTTGGTAATGACATGTCTGACAAGAGACTTATATCTAGAGTTTATAGAATAGTCGAGAACCACAAGATAAAGGTAAACAACCCAACTGAAAAACGGGCACAGGATATGAACAGACATTTCACCAAAGAAGACAGTCAGATGGTGAACAAACACATGAAGAAATGTTCAAAGTCCCTAGCTCTAAGGGAGATGCAAATCAAAACAACTATGAGATACCATCTTACCCCAGTCAGAATAGCAAAATTTAACAGAACAGCAAGCAACAAATACTGGTGAGGTTGTGGAGAAACTGGAACCCTTGTTCAGTGTTGGTGCAACCACTATGGAAGGCAGTATGGCACTTTCTCAAAAAATTGCAAATAGAAATAACCATTTGACCCAGCAATTCCACTACAGGGAATATACCCTAAAGAAACCAGAACTGCCACCCAAGCAGATATATGCACACCCATGTTTATTGCTGCTTTGTTCACAATAGCAAGGAGTTGGAAACAACCCAAGTGCCCAACAACAAATGAATGGAAAGAGAATCTGTGGTATATTCACAGAATGGAATACTATGCTGCACTGAAAAACAAAGACCTCATGAAATATTATACAAAATTAGTGACCCTGGAGGACATTATGCTGAGTGAAATATCTCAGTCACAAAAGGACAAATACTGCATAGTGTCACTGTGGTAAAGCGGGACTGACATGGGGGTTGCGGGGAACCTAAGAAAAGAGGGGATAAATAATGTATACTACATTGAAACAGATGAGGCAGAGAACTGTTTAAAAGGAATATAAGATTAGGTATTATTTTCATAACAAGATTACAGAAAAAGAAATGCATATTAAAGCTGATTGTGGACTGGGGTGGGGATTATATAACAGTAAAAGATTTTTTTTTCTTCAAAGAGAAAAATGAACTGGAGGAGGGGTTGGCATGGAGGAAAATGTGCAACAATGAATGAATGGGGAGGAAAATTAAATGGAGAGAATATGCTGTAAAAAAATTTAAAAAAGAAAGAAAGCATGGCTGTAAGACTACCTGCCAAACCATTCGCCAAAAAGCCGCCCCTTGAGTGGAGAGGGAACCCACATTGCTGTGGTTTGCAGCGGGCTGGCTGCTGCTGTCTCCACACTCGGCCACTTTCCGCAACCTTCGATAAGAAACCACAGGCGTCAGAGTGAATGGGGCTCTGTCTGGAGTAGGGCCAGCAAACGTCCGCAAGGAACCAGGAAGGGATAGTGCCAGGCCCTCAGGCCATATGGTCTGTGCTGTGACTTCTCAACCCTGAGTCCGTGGGGTGGACATGGGCACTCCAGGCACATGGACAGAAGGGCAAGGCCATGAGCCCAGGAATCAAAAGGGGGCTGACTGCACATGACCCTTGGGACAGAGGGAATTAACCCAGCCCTACAATCAAGCAGGGGTGGCATCCACTTCCTAAACAACATGCCTCCAGAAACTATGAACTTTGAGAAATGTCGATGGTTGTAGAGGGGCTTCAGGCGTTTTGTTCATAGGATTGCTATGAGTCGTGCTGGACTCGAAGGCCATCAACAACAACAATAATCAAACAGCACCTATAGCCAGGTGTCCATGTCCCCAAGACAGGAGAGCTACCGGCCCAGGACTTGTGCCTCCCACAGCATCCCAGATGGGAAACCTGCTAGCCAGGTGTCCATGTCCTACACACAGTTACCTGGATGTGAAACCTATTGGTCAGGTACCCATGTCCCCAGGACAGGAGAGCTACAAGCCCCCATGGCCCCCATCCCTGCATGTTTCCTCCCTGGATGGGAAACCTACTGACCAGGTCCAAGTGTGCCCCACACAGCTCCCCAGTCAGGAAACCTACTGGCCAGATGACCAGGTCCGTCATATGCCTCCCAAGACAGGAAACCTACCAGCCAGGTAGCCATGTCCCCCGCACGTCTCGCGACACTCCTGTATTCCTCGCTGTGCTGTCCATGAGGCCAGGGGCTTGCTGGCCGTTGTCAAGGCGTGGATCTCCCGTCCGAGCTCTGCCTTTGGAAAGGGGATCAACCAGGACAGGTGAGATGGATGGGTGCCCGAGAGTGGGGTCCACTGCACACAGATGGCTGTGCACCCTCGGTGATCCACAACACTCCTACAATCCTGCATGAGAAATGAGGTCCAGGCGCAGCTAAGGCAGGCACTGTGGGTCAAGGTCAGTGACGGAGCAAAGTGAACAGGACTCCGGGCAGCGGACAGACCTGGGCGCTGGGATGCAATTAAATGAGTGAGACACAGAAGAGCGTGCGCAGTGACACGAGGAGCATCTGCAAGTGCTCAGCGACAGGCCACGTGGTGTGAGATGTGGGCGCCACGGCAGAAAGCAGCCACGGTCTGAGGGGGTTAGAGCAGGAGTGAGGTCATGGGTCATAGGTGAGCCTATGACACTTAACATCCTCAGGGTTAGAGGGGCGTGAAGGGGGCTGCTGATCACAGGATCGGCACCTAACAACAACAATAACAACAACAGGGGCCAAGGGGGCCTGGGAGGCTCACTAAAGGCCACGACACCCTCCCGCATGGTAAACCAGGTGGGAAGAGGGGGGGCTCCTGGCACCTCTGCCCTGTGCTGGCGTGGATTAGAATTAGTCCTTCCTGAAAACATTACCACAGAGACACACTGCTAAGAACGAAACCAAGGCCCAAACCAGAGTTAGATGGGTACACTGTGTGTGTTATACAGTACAGGAACACCGTGTGTGTTAGATGGGTACACTGTGTGTGTTAGATGGGCACACTGTGTGTGTTATACAGTACAGGAACACTGTGTGTGTTCGATGGTACACCGTGTGTGTTTGATGGGTACACCGTTGTTTGTTCGATGGGTACACCGTGTGTGTTATACAGTATAGGAACACCGTGTGTGTTCGATGGTACACCGTGTGTGTTCGACGGGTACACCGTGTGTTCGACGGGTACACCGTGTGTGTTCGATAGGCACCCCGTGTGTGTTCGATAGGCACCCCGTGTGTGTTAGAGGGGTACACTGCGTGCACTATACAGGTAAACTGAGCATTGCGCTGAGCATTGTACCTGTTGTTTACACAGCCCCTCATGTGCAGAAATGTCCCTGAAAGCAGAGACTTCTGCTCCTACTCAGGATTTAGTGAAGACCACTGAAGCATGTGCACATTCAAACCCTCATGAACACAAACACCCACTTCCAGGGTGCGTTCAGATCCAATGGTGAGGTCACACTGAGGCTGCACCGTGACCCGGGTCAAACCTCTAGCCTTTGGAAAGATGGACATGCAATCTCACTCGAGGACGCTGTCAGCACAAACTGATTCAAGGGTCAGCTGGCAAAGGTGGGGGAGTCATCTGCAGGAAATGGGCACTTGGCCTCTTCCTCTCTCTCAGCACGCTGGCTCCTGGGCCTGCCATCATCCCCGAGGCCCTCCACTCTTTGATGCTGTGGCTCTCAAGTGCTCACTGGATGGAGGCTTTTGGGGTGTTGTACATGAACTCAATCTGCAGTGCTGAGCATCCCAGCTCTCAAGCATTTCCTCTGAATCTTGTCCCTGGCTCCCACGCCCGGGCTCTGGGATCATGGCCGCAGTGGCCGACCTCAGGGAGGCTGACACATGGTCTGGCACAGACCCAGCCGTCAGCGTCATCACTTGGACTGGAGCCTTTGTCAAGCTGTTTACAAGAGGGGAAGACATGAAACCGACCCCAGGCAAGGAGTGGTGATTGTGCAAAACCACTGTCCTCAAAAAGCACAGCAGGGGACCTCGGGGATGGGAATGGGGAGAAGCAGCCCAGGTGAGGCTCTGGAGCCCCACCGGCCCTTTGACCCCACGTCTGAGAACACGTGCATGAAGGCAGCGTACTGACGGCCAGGCCCCCTGGTGGCAGCTCTGGTAACAACACAGGTGTGGCACAGAGGGTGACTCACCTGCTTGGCACCTCGCTTCTGGCTGAGCAGGTCTAGCTGGAGCCTCATCATGTCCATGAAGAGAAGCTTGGAGAAGTTTTCCAGGGCGAAGACGGCAGCCAAGTATGGGAGGAGACGCCATTGCTGCGGGACAAAGTGTGGCTGTGAGACAAGGGCCTTCCCACTCAGGGCGTGGGGTCAGGTGTGACACAAAGACCTCCCCTCACAGGGCAAGGGGCCAGGTGTGAGCCAAGGATGTCACCCCTCAGGGCGTGGGGCCAGGTGTGAGTGAAGGACCTCCTCTCGCAGGTTGTGGGGCCGGGAGAGTGCTGGTGGTGGGTGCAGTGACAGTGCAGACCTCTCCCTACACTAGCAGGCCACATGAAATGTCACACACAGGTCTTCATGTCCCTTTGCAGGACCGCCACCCCAGCCTCCTCTCACTTGGCCAGTACTCCAGTTGCATGTCTCACTGTCTGTCAGCAGACACAGAGGAGAACCGCCACGTGTGCAAGCCCACACCAGCACCCCTCACCATACACGGCTGTCACAAAAAAGAAGTTAGTGGGACAAACTACTGTCAGTCCCCCATGAACCAGGGAGGGTGGCCTCCTGAAGACCATCAGGGAACAAGGACCAACCATTCAGGGAGGGAGAATACACCATACACGGAGAGAGGACACGCCATCCAGGGAGGGAGGGAGGACGCACCATCCAGGGAGGGGGACACGCCATCCAGGGAGGGAGGGAGGACACGCCATCCAGGGAGGGAGGGAGGACACACCATCCAGGGAGGGAGGGAGGACATGCCATCCAGGGAGGGAGGACACGCCATCCAGGGAGGGAGAACACATCACTCCCAGACCCAACTTTGACACGAGGAGTGTGAGGAGTTGGAAGCCCCTTAGCAAGTAAGTGTCACCTGCAACTCTATACACCCAGCATTTGAGATAGGATGGAAGGAACAATGGGAAGATGAGTGGTGGGTGCATGGATGGGCAGAGGATGGTCGATAGAGGGATGGGTGGATGGCAGTATGCATGGGTGGGGATGGGGCCTGGTGGGTGGATGATAGGTGAGTGAGTACACAGAGGGATGAGTGGGTGAATGGGTGATGGGTACACGGTAGGTAGATGGTCAGTGCCTAGATAGAGGGATGGATAAATGTGTGGATGATGGACAGAGATGGGGGATAGGTGGGTGCCGGGATAAGAAGAGCACGATGGGTGGATGGCAAGTGACTACAGGTGAGTGGATGGATGGATGTGTGGATGACGAATGGAGAGATGGACGGATGGAGTGATGTGTGCACAGCGGGTGGGTGGGCAGAGGACGGGTAAGGAGTGGATAATGGCTCAATTTACAGGTGTGTGGATGGATTGTGTGTAGAGGGGCAGATGGAAGAACGGTAAGACGAGTGGATTAAGGAAAGGACAGGTGAATGGCTGGATAGAAAGAGGAATAGTAGGAGTGATAAACGGATGGATTGTGGGTGGAAAGATGGATGGATGGGTCTGTGCTTAGGTGAATAGATGAATAAAATGATGCAGAGATGGGTGGATGAATAGGTGAATGGATAGATGGATGTGAGATGAATAAAAGGCTATGTGAACACATGGATGGATGGATGGATGGATGGATGGATGGATGGATGGATGAGTGGATGGATGGATGGATGGATGGATGGATGGAAGAATGAGTGGATGTAGGATGGATAAATGGTTATGTGAACCCATGGATGGATGGATGGATGGGTGGATAAGGTGTAGGTAGAGAGAGGGAGGGCTGGTGAGACGGGCGAGTGGATGTCAGATGGGTAAAAGATTATGTGAACCCGTAGATGGATGGGTGGCCGGTTGGGTGGATGAAGGTGTGGGTAGAGGGAGGGTCTGGGGGATGGAAGGAGAGCTGAGTGGCTGGGAGGATGAAGGCAACAACAGAAGGATGAGTGGATGAATGGGTGGGCGGGCGTGCAGGCAGATGGAGAGAAGAATGGATGGGGGTAAGGAGGAGAAGGGACAGATAAGAGGTGGGTGTGAGGCTGGGTGGACAGATGAATGGGTGACGGGAAGGACAGACAAACAGAGGTGGGTGGGTGGGTAAAGTCTGCTGTGGATAAAGGGGAGGGAAGCGCAGTAAGCCCACAAGGAACCTGGGGGACCCCCCCCAGCTCTGGCAGTCAGTGTTTCCCAGTTAACTGTCCTGTGGGTGGTCTCGCTAACCTTGAGCCCAGTAGCCAGACCTCGAATACCTGGGACAAATGTCCCACACAGGGACAGAGAGGCCGCACCTGTATCTGATAGTCCAGGACAGGCACTTCTTCCACCTCGGTTGGTCCAAACTGGCACCGTGTGGCCGAGAAGCGGATGGCGATACACACAGCCACCTTCAGGTTGATGATGGACTCGTACATGATGAAGACCCGGCCAGACGACAGGTTGCCCAGGGAGGCTCCGAAGCGCTGTCTGTCATCCTGGGAGGAGGACAGCGGTGATGGATGAGCAGGGGCGCTGGGTGACCACAGACAGAGCTGACATGGAAGCATGGCCATGCCCCTTCATTCTCCAGCGGTCAAGTGTCTACTCTACAAGCAGAGAAGACCAAGCCCAGGCACTCACTGCCCTTGGTCAGCCCAGTGACCTGATGCACTGAACACTAACAAATGAAGACCAGGAGAGATGTGGGAAAATGAGGGCATCATTTCAGAACAAAGAAAAGACCCAAATGGGGGCCCGAGACTCGCTCTGGAGTGTGGCGTGGCAGCCCCAGTGAACAGACATGAGGAGGCTGGGCAGAAGACTTCCGGAGCGCCTGAAGACACCAAGCATTCTAACCAGACGCACAGAGACCCGGAGTTAGAACCAGGAGGGAAGGGCATGCTTGCATTTCTTAAGTGGAAAGGCCTGGAGAACCAAGTCAAGCCTCGAGCTGCAGTATTTCTGAGGGATTCTGGAAGCAACGGTGGCTATTTCTCACATGCTTGAGCTGACATGCCAGGTCATAGCCCCGTGAGCTGTGGACGAAGCTTGGCCCCTCAGCCCGACTGTCCAGGGAGTCCTGACCCCCTCCTCGCTCGCCAGGCTGTCACTCGTTTCTTCCACCAGAAACCAAGAGATCTGTGTGACTGTAAACGACACCACTTGCCTCAATGCTCTGGGTTTCTACGATGAACATCAAATTTGGCATGCTCCGTAGATTAACACATCTTGGGTTTCTTATTGTTCTTGTTCAGTCAAACAGGATCTTGTTAGATCAAACAGTGTCTTGACAATTTCTGATAGAGGGCTGATGTCACTGGGTCCTCTCACAGGAACAATGAACGACTCATGGTGACCCGACAGACACAGGTCTGCACCACGTCCTGCCGTCCTCACCATGTCCTCGTGCTCAGACTCAGAAGCTTGACAGTGACCGATGGACTGCAGGTCTGCACCACGTCCAGCCGTCCTCGCCACGTCCTGCCGTCCTCGCATCCTCACCATGCCCTGCCATCCTCACCGTGTCCTGCCGTCCTCACCACATCCTGCCGTCCTTGCCGCGTCCTGCCGTCCTCACCACATCCTGCCGTCCTTGCCACGTCCTGCCGTCCTCACCACATCCTGCCGTCCTTGCCGCGTCCTGTCATCCTCACCGTGTCCCCGTGTTCAGGCTCAGGGGCATGACAGTGACTGATGGACAGCAGGTCTGCACCGCACCACGTCCTGGCATTGTCACCGCATCCTGCCGTCCTCACCATGGCCTGTCATCCTCACTATGTCCCCATGCTCAGGCTTAGGGGCGTGACAGTGAATGACGGACAGATCTGCACCGCACATCCTGCCATTGTCACCTCGTCCTGTCCTCCTCACCATGTCCCGTGTTCCGGCTCAGGGGCCGTCCCTGTATCAATCCACTTGTTTTCAGGCTTTCCTTTCTGCCTCTGACCCTGGGCCTTTCCCAGCCGGATGACTTTTCCCAAGGTCTGATTCCTGCCGGGAAGATGTTCAAATACGTGAGACGCTTCACCAACAAACACTCCCTGTTTGTGGTCATCAGTCATTAAGAGCATAGGGACACCTCCTTTCACTGCTCTTCACAGATAGTGAGATGTTTGATTTTTATGAATTACAGGTTGACACACAAGCCCGCGTGGACCAAGGGGCACTTTCTTCCAAGAGCAGAAGCGGATTCCGTGTCTCCGTCACACCGCGGACACTGACTCTGTGGTTCAGACCACGTAGACCACCATCTAGCACGGACCTGACTTCCCCAGGCAACAGGAACCTCAGGAGTCTGTGGGAGCCACTCTTAAGGTGCCTGGATCTGACACCGTGGGTTCCTGAGGGTCAGCCCACGAGGGGGTTCTGAGACCAAAGGCTTCCACAAGCACCAATTAAACAGTCCAGATGACAGCTGGCTCTCTCTGGTTTCCATTCTTTCAGTTTCACGTCTGTCTGAGCGTCAAGGCTGGGGTTAGCAGCACAACACCCCACGGCCCACCAGAGCTCTTGCCCGGGATCCCTTTATCACTGCTGCCCTCACATCCTGCAACTCTTAGAGTCTCCAAGTACAACAAAGCAAAACGGTGCCCGGCCCTGGGCTCCCCACCAGCCACCCTGCTGGAGCCCAGAGCCGCCCAACCCTGAGCCCCCTCACAACCCTGAATCCCCCCCAGACACCGTGCCCGGGCCCAGAGCTGCCCAACCCTGAGCCCCTCACAACCCTGAATCCCCCACCATCTGATGCTCCTGAGCCCACAGCCACCAGACCCCAAGCCCCTCACGATCCTCAGTCCCTCACCATCTGCTGTGCCTGAGCCCAGAGCCATCCGACCCTGAAACCCTCACAACCCTGGGTCCCTCACCATCCTCTGCACCCAAGCCTGGAGCTGCCCAACTCCAAGACCCTCATGACCCTGAGTCCTCCACCATCTGCTGCACTGAGCCCACCAGAGCTGCCCGACCCCGATCCCCTCACAACACTAAGCTCCACACCATACACTGTGCTGAGCCTGGGGCCGCCCAACGTTGAGTCCCCTCACGACCCTGAGCCCCTCACCATCTCATGTGTCCAAGCCCAGAGCCGCCTGACCCTGAACCCCTCAAAACCCTGGGTCCCCCAACATCCGCTGCACCTGAGCCCAAAGCTTCCCGACCCTGGGCCCCTCAGCATCTGCTTCACCCAAGCTTGCAGCCACCCTACCCTGAGCCTCACCCCACCATCCGCTGCTGTGTGGCCCCAGCTCTCGTCTTCTATCTGACCCTCCACCTTTCAACCATGATCTCTTCCCAAAGGGCAGCCCCTCCTGACAACACGGCCAAAGTGTGTGAGATGAACAGTCACCACCCTTGGCCTTGGGAGCGCCCTGGCCGCACCTCCTCCAGGAGAGACGTCTGCTCTGCGGCTGTCAGGGTTGCCCAGTGCTCTTCACACCGGAGCTCACAGGCACCCACTCTTCTCCCATCTTCCTTCCTCACTGCAACTCTGAGATGCACAGCAAGTGAACACACTGTGGCTCGGGGCGGGCTCGCCTTTGTCTTCACACTGCTGTCCCCCAGCAGCTCCCTGGGAGAAACACGGCATCTCCTCCCACTCAAAGTACTGCCTTGCAAACCAATGGATGCCCACCTAGGAGCCTCGGTGCACTCACGGAAACGTGCGTGAAAGGGAGGTGGTGTCGTGGAGACGACACTCTATCAGGAAGCTCATCAAAAGGCCTGCAGTCAGAAGCCCAAGGCTGATCCGCGGCGCCCTGGTGGCCTGGTCCAGGGGGCGGCGAGCAGCTAACATAACGGAGGCTCCTCTCTGGTGGTCTCTGTCACCAGCAACGCCAGAGGATAACACTGGGCAGCGTCCTCTCAAGCTTTACAGCCTTGGACACTCGGTGGAGGCTCGTGGAGCCCCAACCGGCTTGACAGGAGGAGGTTTGGGGTGGGTGCAGCTCCTCCTTAAAGCTTCACGGTCTGGGAAAGCGCATGGGGTCACTGCGGGTGAGGCTTGGCTAGCAGCTGGGCTGGGCTCTGTCCCCACACGCTGTCTGCTGACTGGACTCTGACTGCAGGTGCCACTGGCTGAGCTCTGTGCCCACGTGCTGAGTGCCCGCTGTCTGGACTGTGTCCCCATGCCCTGACTGCCCACTCTGGACTGTTCCCACACGCTGACTGCCCGCTGGCTGGGCTCTGTCCCCGGGTGTCACTGGCTGGGCTCTGTCCCTACACGAAGACATCAGCAGGTCAGGATCTGCTCACTCTCTCTGCAGCAAGAAATGGTCTTGAAAATCCCAGAGATGAACCGACACAGCCCACTGCAGCTGGACTTTCTCCAGAAGCTTCCAGAACTGTCTGTCTTTGGCATCTTTGACTTCCCTACATGGTGTGTCTCAGGAAGGTTTTCACCATTTCTCCTCTGGCGGCCATAGGCCCCTCTGCTCAGAGACCGTCCTTTCCGGCTGAGGGACATTTCCTTCCCTCACAGGAGCCCTCAGGTGTGGGGGGTGAAGGGCTGGGCTGCCCACTGAGAAGGCCAGCGGTTCAAACCCACCATCCGCTCTGTGGGGGAGATGAGACATACAGCTTCCGGAAAGATGGTCACCTTGGACAGCATCTGCAGCATCTCCTGGTCTGTGGGTCCCCGGCAGCTGGAACAGGGCAGCTCATTTGATCTCTTATGTGAGGGGCATTTGACTGTGTGGATCATAACAAATAATGGCTAACATGGAGAAGAATGGGAATCCCAGAACACTCACAAGAAATCTGCTTCCCAAACAGAGCAATGGAGCACTGTTATTGTTGTTGTTGTTGTTAGGTACCATCACATTGAGCACGACTCATAGTGACCCCATGAACAAAAGATCTGAACCCTGTTCAGTCCTGCGTCATCCTCCCACTTCCTGACACACTGCAGAGGTCACTGTGTCAGTCATCTGGTTGAGGGTCTTCCTCTCATTCGCGGACCCTCCACCTTCCCAGCATCATGTCCCTCTCCGAGGACCAGCCCCTCCTAGGCTGGACTCTGTCCCCAGGTGTCACTGGCTGGGCTCTGTCCCCGTGCACTGGCATCAGCAGGTCAGGATCTGCTCACCTCTGATGTCAGCGTGTGAGGACAGAGCCCCCCTCCAAGGACCACGCCTAGAGTACGTGAGGCAAAGCTTCAGCATCCTGCATGGTTTAAAATGAAGAAGGGAGTACATCGAAGTTGTGATCTCTCCTCATCCGTCTGTGTGCTGAGCAAATCATTCAAGAAGCTGAACTCCATAAAGAAGAATGTGGCAACAGGAGTGGAGGAAGACTCATCAAAACCCGAGGGTCTGAAGCTGCTATCGCCTTGCTTGCTCAAAGTGAGGACTAGAAACACTTGCTACAGAAGATCAAAGATGACACCCTTCAACACAGCATACACCTCAACAACAAGAAAGTGAACGTTCTCCCCACTGGGCCAGTAGGCAACCTCATGACAGACGGTGAAAGGATTCCAACTGTCGGCTGCTCCAGCTGGCGTGGATCCACAATCAACACCCTTGGTATCAGCAGCCAAGAAATCAAAAGATGTATCACGTCGGGAAATTCTGCTGTCAAAGACTCCTGATTCTAAGCAGCACCGTGAGTTTAGCATGAAGGGGCGCCTGACCCCACCCATGGTCTTTTCTATTACCTGCTATGCATCTGAGGGAACGAGTAAGGATAACTGGAGAAGAATCAACGTGTTGGAACGACTGTCCACGGCGGCCAGAACAGACAGGCCTGTGAAGGAGGCAGTGCAGCCAGAGACAGGAGGGCAGAACGGCATCTCACACGCTCTGGCCACGTTGCCAGGAGCAGTGGACCCTTGTTGTGCTGGGGAAAGTGGAGGGTCAGCAAGAGAGGAAGACCCTCAGCGACACGGGCTGACACCGTGACTGTGGCAGTGGGCTCCGAGTGTCAGAGATGATGAGGATGGCACAGGACAGGACGGCGTCCAGGGCTGTCGTGGGGACACCATGGCTTGTGGCCGACAGCAATCAGGACGCGTGTCTCAGCGGAGCTGCTGCCCAGCTCTCAGTTGCTGACAGAAAGGAAGCAGAAGAGGCCTCAGCTGAGATGAGACCCACTGAAAGTGACCACACGCCCAGGAACCTCCTTCAAAGCGACCACATACCCAGGAGACCCACTGAAAGTGACCACATGCCTAGAAGCCTCCTTCAAAATGACCACAGGTCTAAGAACTCTTTTCAAGGAGACCAAATGCCCAGACACCCCCTTCAAAGTCACCACAAGTACAGGAAGCCCTTTCAAAGTGGCCACTGTCAGTATTTCCTCTTAGGCCATTTCTGGTAGGGGTCCTGGTCCCCCAGCTGCTGGATGTTAGAGGGTGAGCAGGCTCCCCCCAGATAACCACGAACCACCAACAGGCAGGACAAGGTGACCCTTTTTCAAGTCCTGGGGGACACAGCTGAGAAGGGGCAGGGCTGCTGGTAGTGACCTGAGGACACAGGGGGACACAGCCAAGGCTTGTCAAACCCTAACCCTCTGCTCTGTCCTAGGGGACACTGACACTTAGCAGGCCTTCCTGACAAGGGGCCCAACAGTTCCGTTTCACATGGTTCCCCTCCCTTCCCTCCCTAGTGGGTACATCCTGACCTCCACCCCTCCTGCTCCCAGGAATACATGGGCCAGCAAGCGCTCCTCAAGGACCCTCCTGTCATGTGGTCACTCTGAAGGGGACGCCTGGGCCTGTGGCCACTTTGAAAGGGACCCCTGAGCATGTGGTCACTGTGAAGGTGGCTTCTGGATGTCTCATGACTTTGAATGGGGCTTCTGAGTGTGGTCACTTTGAAGGACTGTCCTGAGCACACGGCCACTTTGAAAGGGCCTCCTGTACTTGTGGTGACTTTGAAGGGGGTGTCTGGGCATTTGATCACCTTGAAAACGGTTTTTAGACCTGTGGTCACTTTGAAGGAGGCTTCTAGGCATTTGGTCACTTTCAGTGGGTCTCCTGGGCGTGTGGTCACTTTGAAGGAGGATCCTGGCTGGGTGGTCACATTAGAGGGGGTTCTGGGTGGGGAGTCACTTTGAAGGGGCCCACGTGGTGTGAAGTGACTTAGAAAGTGGCTCCCAGACACATCGTCACTTTGCAGCATCAGTGGAGCACAGTCAGCTGGACAGTGAGTCTGGGACTCCACAGGAAGAAATGGTCAGTACTTCCTCTGAGGCCATTTCCGGTAGGGGTCCTGGTCCCCCAGTAGCTGGACATTAGAGGGTGAGCAGGCTCCCGCCACATAACCACCACCCTAACATTCACGGGCAGGACAAGGTGGCCCTTTTGGTCAGGCTTCCCTTTCAAGCCCTGAGGGACACAGCTGAAAGGGGGCAGGGTTTCTGGTGGTGCCCCGAGGACACAGGAGGGCAAAGTCAAAGGAACGCAGCATCGGTGGACATCACCCTGAAAGTATGGGCGAGCAGTGTCCAGAGCCCATTCGGAGGCAGGGTGACCTCCACAGTGATCCGCTTCTACAGTGTCCTGAGTCACCCTGACACCAGCACAGAGGGGCTTGAGCCCATACCTTCCTTCCCGGTCCTGCTGTCGCCAAGAGGGGGCTGTCCTGAGCAAGCCTGGGGTACCCTGCATGGTCAGGGCAGGGGATGCCCCATAAGCGTCGGGGGCAGAGACCCTTCCCAGGTCCCAAAAAAGTGAGGGGGTCTCACCAGCACCTGTGAGCCTAGGGGACCTCCCACATCCCATGGTGGGGGCTCAGCCATGGGCACCCCAAGTGTTGGGGACCTCTAAGACTCCACAGTGGGACCTCAGCCACACCAGGAGCCCCATCCCACACGTCTGCATCCCCACGACCCTTCCTGGAAACAGTACCTTAAACGAGGTGACATAGGTGCCCTCGGGGGTGACGTCCCCTGTGCGGTTCAGCAGGTTCTGGCGTGGGATCCGCACCTTGTGGAACATGACAAAGCTGTGGGCAGACATGGGGCTCGGTTACACCCGGGGCCAGGCGAGAGGGCGCCCCCAGCCCCCAAAGCCAGTACACAAAACCCAAGGAGCGCTTAGGAAGTCACGTGACCCTGCAGACGGAAGACTCCAGGGCCAGTGGGTCACATGGAGTTCCTCTAAGGGAGCGCATTAGACAAGGTGGTCACACGGCTCTCAGAGCTAACAACGGGGCCTGGGGGGCCGGGCACACGGTGCCAGTGAAGCTAGGGGCAGGGCGTGCGGGAATCCGGGAGAAGTAGGGCCGGGCACACAGTGCCGGCTCTCGAAGCCGCGTCCTCTGTCCTGCTGGTATCAGGTCTCAGGTCACCACACATGCCCCATGAACACATGCCTGGGCACTACCACCAAGCGTGCTGTCATCACCGTTAGCCGACACCCGGTGGGCTCCAACTCAGAGCGGCTGGCGTACCATGGAAGGGTCCCACAGGCCCTGCGCCTCCTCGCCGTCTCCACTCAAGCCCATCACTGTGGCCACTGTGCCTGTCCTCCTCGGGGAGCCACCTCTCCCTCGCTGTCCCTCCAACTTTCCCAGATCCACATCCTATTCCAAGGGCTGGTTTCTCCTGACAACATGCTCGGAGTCCGTGCCACAAAGCTTGTCATCTTTCTCTCCAAGGCAGCCCGGTGTCACTTCCTCCAAAATGCGTCCTTCTCTCAGTCGTCCATGGTGGAGCCAGCATCACCGGCACTCTTCGCCAGCATCACCAGCATCACCGGCACCCTGCGTCACCATCACCGTCCAAGGTCTTGCTCTTTAAAGTCCAACTTCCACTCATTCAAAGACCTCTGAGCTTTCCTCGTTCAAAGGCCTCCTCTGCCTCCTCATTCCGGGTTAACTCTCACATGTCCAGGAGCCCGGGAAACGCGGCCGGGATCAGGTCTTTAAAAGTGACAGCCCTGCCCTTTAGCACTTCAAAGAGGTCCTGAGACTAGTTGTGTCTGTGCTGCCCATGTGACTCCATCACCGCTGCGATCGGGTGCTAGCTATGCACCCAAGTTTATAACGGCCCCCAGCCCCCAGAGGCCCCGGGCTGGCTCCGTTGAGGTACCACTTGGCCTCCCTCCCCACACACGGACTCCTCCCCAAGCAGGGCCTTCCGCCCCCACCTTCTGAGTGAGCCTGCTCCAGGCCCAGGGTCTAAGCCCCTCCGAGCCACACAGAGGGGAGCCTCAGCCCCCGGCTCTGCTCACTCGCACGCAGCTGCCCTCCTGCTGCAGATGACCCACCTCTGTGCACTGACCCAGCCTGTCCCCATCACTGTGTGCCCAGAAAAGCCTGGTGGAAGCCCGAGATGGCTGCCCGGACACCCAGATCACCTGACACTCAAACGGCAGACAGGCCTGCAGGGTGTACATACACGGGGAGACAGCACCCCTCAGAGCAGTCAGCCCACAACAGCGGGCAGCAGGAATGTGAAGCCCAGCAGTGCCCTCTGCAGGCCAACTCCAGAAGGTCCTTCGTCAGGAATGGTCAGTCACATGTTCTCCTTGGGTCACATCTGTCCCTTGGGCCCACACAACAGATGGCCAGCTGGGGCCAAACGTGAGGCTAGCCTGCAAGCAGGACCCTAGGGTCCTGGAGGATGGGAGGGGCACAGCCGCCCCTGGACTCTTGCTCTGCCCAGTTCCTGGGTCTTTCCTCCCAGGTCATGGGGGGTTCTCAGATGGACTGACTCCAGGAAGGCCCCACCCGACTAGGAGGGGACCTCAAGCCCTCAAGGCCTCTGCTGATGGCCTGTCTGGCTCCAAGCAGCCAGGTCAGCTTCGGGAACAAGAACCACCCACTCCTCTGTCCAGACGGCCCACGTGGAGGCAGCCACTCACAAGACACAGAGCTGCTGGGAGTGAGACGGATACCCAGGAGCATGGGGTGGGGGGCGGCAGCACACTTGGCTGGACGTGTGCCTCCCACCCAGCAGGTGAGGGTGGACGCTGCCCAAAGCCTCGGAAGGACCTCTCCACCTGGTTCACACACCCAGGCCAACCCCCGTCACTGCAGTCCACGGGCCAGGGACCCTGCTGTGTCACCTGACCTGGTCACTGTCAGGTACAAACATGGCTGTGGCCAGTGTCCTCTCTGCCCCATCCACTGGGCGGTTATGAGCAAGGCATCGCTGAGGCAGTGACCAAAAACCCAAACCCAAGCCAGAGGCCTCGGGTCGATGCCAACTCACAGAGACCCCAGGTCAGAGCTGAACTGCGTGTGGGGTCTCCAGGGCGTGGCCTTCACAGAGGCCAACCACCTCACCTTTGTCCTACGCAGCAGCCAGCAGGTTTGAACAGCTGATCTCTCAGTCGGCAGCCGGGTGCCTTAACCCCTATGCCAGAGCGCCTCCATTTACTAAAACAAAAGCGATCTCCACAGTCCAGTGGGTTCTGACTCTGAGGGACCCTCAGGCAGAGAACTGGCCAGCTGGGTCCCCAGAGCCTGACCTTTGGGAAGGCCAGCACCCTTTGCCTTTCTCCTGAGGGACAGCTGGGCCTGGAGTGCTGACCTCTCAGGCAGCAGCCAGACGCCCTAACCACAGAATCACCAGGACTCCTGCGAAGCTGTCACAGTCACAGGGAAGGGTCAGTGCAAGCCACGGGCAGGCGGTGCTGGTCATGCGGGCTCAGCGTGGCCATGTGAAGAGGCCTGGAATGCTCACCAGGGCCGCCTTCCAGCCTAATGCAGCCCTGTGCCGGGAAGAAGTCCGTCCACACAGTGATTATGGAGTTCCCAGAGGCCCCAGGGCTGTGACCCTTTAAGATCTCTGCTTACAGGAAGGTCAGAGTTCAAGTCCACCCAGAAGCACGTTGGAAGAAGGCCAGGTGGTCACCCTGGAAACACACAGCACTGAAGGCCTTGCAGAGCTGACTTCTGCTCTGATGCACAGACCATCGAGAGTCAGGGGGGAGCCGGTGACAATGCAGTGCACATGCGTACCCCAGCAGGCTGGACCTGCCCATCTGCAGTGGACAGGACAGTGAGGGTGGGAGCAGGAGCCCCGACTGCAGGGGAGGGACAGAAGACAGCAGGGGGCGGGGATCGACAGCGATGCGCCGTCCAGTTCTGTCCTTCTCGGGGATGACCTGGGCCTGGGGCAGCCACTCACCCGTTATCCAGCCCGTTCTGCCCCACCTTCCTGCCGATGTCGCCAACCATCACCCCAGGCATGGGGAGCAGGGTCTTAGGGTCCCGAATCTGCAGGAAGCACAGGGGGCAGTCAACATGCTGTAGTCAACCCCAAGTGGTAGGGCCCAGCCGGGCGGCCTGCAAGGGGCTCAGGGACATGGAGAGGCCAAGCCCAGCGCTAGACAGTCCACTGCAGCTCATCCCACCTAGCCTGGGAGCCCCGTTGTGGGGTGGGGAGTGTGGCTGTAAATGGCTTCCCTACACCACTGGGTAGCCAGCTGCCACAACTGCCTGGCCCGCATGCACGCTGACCTCTCAATGACCTCTCAACCACTGGCCTGCGTCCACGCTGATCTGACCAGCTGCCTCGGCTGCCTGAGGTAGCCCACATATATCATCAACAGCTGCGTGAGCCCCAGAGGGGAGCCACATTCGGTCAAATGTGCAGCCTCCACGTGGGTAGAGACCAGCTCAGGAGTAGCTGAGTGACTGGTGACTTAGCCATGCTCGCTGGATGATGATACGTTGTCTGCACAGGGCAGCTCGGTGGAGCGGGTCTGATTCAGGACGACTGCTAGTTTATTCGGATGGATCCAACCTGGGATTGCTGTTCTATAGACTCGGTCGGAGACCTTCACCAAGTTAGCTAGAGGACTGAGGGACTGGACCATTAGTGCATAATGTCCCAGCCAGTGTAGCCTGTTAACATTGGATGTAGGGACTGCATTAGTGTAGAATGTTGCCAACATATGTATCTTTGTTAACTGTGGAGTGGGGGCTTGTCAGTTACTCTGCATCGTTAACATCTCTTCAGCCTGTTACCACAGAACTGTTATTGACTGTATACTATTTGTACAGTTACTTTGTATTGTTTACAGATGCCTGGTCTACCAGACTGTATAGTTATTGACTGTGTGCTATTTGTACAGTTACTTTGTATTTACCGATCTTTTCAGCCTGTTAATACTGGTCTGCCCGCCTGTATAGTTACTGACTGTATACTGTTTGCTGCAATTCTGCGATGTGGCCTGTCAGCTTCTCTAACAGGCCCCATAATCAAACCCCACGGTTTTAAGTGTGGTTCTGCAAACTGTGTGGTAACTGCAAAGAATTTTGGACCCAGTTACTGGTCAGACAGGTGCTGGAATTGGTGAGAGCGGGTACAGGGCAGGGAGACCCTATCAGTTCCGCACATGGATGCTGTGGGTGGGGACCATTGCCCCTGTGCAGCTGGCAGAGGTCAGACTCGGCCTTCTTCACGTTGACCTTGTCCTGTTAGACCCGCAGGGCCCACTGCCTGCATCCTAGTCTAGGGCCTGAGACTGTGAGGCCAGGCGGGAAGGCAGCCGAGAATCTGTTAAGGACCTGGGCTGAGGACAGCACCACGGTCAGGGCCCTGGGTCATCAGACAGAAGACAGCCCCTGAGCATGCAGACAGGAGGTGAGTGATCACTCGTGGACCACAGATGTCCACCACGAGGTGCTGAGACACTGTGTGACGATGCCAGGTTTACTCTCCTCCCCAAACCTCACCGATTCCTCATCCCCTACCCAGCCCCTCATCTTGGCCCCACCCCAGGACGCCGGGACCCCATCCCTTCACCTGCACCACGAAGGCATGCAGGCCGTGGCACCCACCCTGGGCACTGGGACCACATCCCCTCACCTGCACCACGAAGGCATGCAGGCTGTGGCACCCGCCCCAGATGCCCCTTCACCTGCACCATGAAGGCATGTAGGCCGTGGCACCCACCCTGGGCACTGGGACCCCATCCCCTCACCTGCACCACGAAGGCATGTAGGTCGTGGCACCCACCCTGGGCACTGGGACCACATCCCCTCACCTGCACCACGAAGGCATGTAGGCCATGGCACCCACGCCTGGGCACTTGGACCCCATTCTCTCACCTGCACCATGAAGGCATGCAGGTCATGGCACCCACGCCAGGACGCCAGGACCCCATCCCCTCACCTGCACCATGAAGGCATGCAGGCCGTGGCACCCACCCCTGGGCACTGGGACCCCATTCCCTCACCTGCACCATGAAGGCATGTAGGCCATGGCACCCACCCCAGGACGCCGGGACCCCATCCCCTCACCTGCACCATGAAGGCATGCAGGCCGTGGCACCCACCCCTGGGTGTGTACAGCTGAGCAAACACAACTGCATGGGTGGCTGTCTTCCCCATGTTGCCAATCCAAAACTTGGAGGCCTCGAAGTCCGGTGAATGTAGGATGAACTCCTGCCAAGAGAAAGGTGCGGTCAGCAGCGGAAATGCACACACAACTTCCTTTCTCTGCCTCAGGGGTGGGGTGGCCGAGTCCTCGCAGAGCGTGAGCCCAGTCCATGCCCACTGCGGGGTCACCCTCCAGGCGCCTTCAGCACTGTGGTCTGTACCAGCGACTGTCAGGCCTTTCCCTCCAAGGTGCTGCCACGGGGATTGTCACCTACAGCCTCTGGTTCAGAGCAGAGCCCCCAGGGAGCTTCTCTGCCATGACTGTCACTGTGCCAGCTGTGACACACAGCCACACACACAGATGGACAAAACACTGTGCTTGGTCACACGCATGCAACCAGCATGACTGACTCACAGCCACAACCCAGGGCGGGGCAGAACTGTCCCAGGGCCATGGATGGAGCTCCGGTGGAGTGGTCTGTGGTCAGCGCGCTGCACCTCCAGCAGCAGCTCCTGGGAGAAAAACAGGCAGCCTCTTCCTCTGGAGGCCTGAAGCCTTGGAACCCCAGGGAGTGCACCCTGGGCTGGAACCCACTCCTCGGGTGAGGGCAGACATTCCGAGTTGGAATCTTTACAGAACAGCCTGACTCATCTCTCTTCTGTAGGGCAGGTAGTAGCTTCAAACTGCCAACCTTCTGGTTAGCAGTGGAGTGTGGAACCTGCACGGGACTGGGGGCTCCGAGGCTCACAGCAGCCATGGCATCTGCTCCTGGGAGCTGTCCCACAAGGACGCTGTGGTGGACCACTGGGTGTGGATCAGAAGGTCGAGGGAAGTGGAAGGGAGGCTGCTCACCAGGGGACGCTGGCCTGAGGCCAAGAGACAGCTAGGATGAAGTGAGCCCAGAGAAGTGCATCCTCACAGGCCACCCCATAAAGCCAAAGGGGCCAGGCGGGGTCATGGTTGAGTCCAGCAGCTCCAGACGGCCCGGGAAGTGAAGAGGCCGGGGCCCAGCTGCCATCCAGACAGCCACATGTCTTGGGTAGGGGACCTCTGGGTCAGCAGGCAAGCTGGGAGACAGCTGGCTGCCCCCGCCATGTCCCTCTGCTCAGCACACACCTGGGAGTCAGGGTCATAGTGGGCCGTCGTCCGCATGCCCTTGGCATTGCTCCCATGGCTCATCTCGGTCAGCGCGAAGCAGCCAAAGATCTGGACAGAAGCAGACATGGAGCGAGTGACTCCTCCCTGCCTGGGTGGACATGGGGTCACTCCAGGTGACGCCAGCCTCGGAGGTCTGCAGGGACTACTCTCACAGAACGAGAAAGGAAGACCAACTCAGAGCATCCCCGGGGTGGACCTGCTCCATGCACTGTCCTGGCTGTGACCCACAGAAGTGGACCACTCAGCCTATCTCCTGTGGGACTGCTGCTTGGAAAGTGGGGTGCGTGTGAGTCCAGTATTCTCACAGCGTTGTTTGGTGGAATTCCAGCACCGCCTCAGCCCCACTGGAACCTTCAGCACCTTGGAGCCCCCTGTGTAAAGTGTCACACACTCTGTGATGTCAGGACTCTGGAATGTGGCCTTTCTAGTCATGGCCTTACTCCCCCCAGGGACATGGTCACCCCCCTAGGGACATGGTCTCCCCCCTCTAGGGACATGGTCTCCCCCCAGGGACATGGTCTCCCCCCCCAGGGACATGGTCTCCCTCCTCTAGG